ATTTTAGTCTACCAGGTCTGCTTGTGATACCAGTATTCAGTACTAAAACTTATCAAACTCATTAATCTCCACCCACCCCCTCACAGTGGAGGTAACCATGGGTAAGAAAGGATGATGATATAATGTTTCATTTCAGATGAGAGAGGAACTGGCAAGAGAGGTGAGCTTAAGGGCAAGTCTAGAGGAGTCACACGCAACGTTATTAGAGAGAATACGGGATACAGAAGAAGCTGTTGAATGTGAAAGATGTGAGGTAAAAAAAAATGATTTAAATTAATAGAATATAAATACAAACACATGCATGTACCTAGATATGAAAAATAGTTTAATTGTAATTCATAGAATTACAATACATATATTTATGGGTTATTATTAAAAATGATTATTAAAATAATATTTCAAGGAATGCAAGGCGCACCAGAAGTCAGTGTGATCCCATGCAGCATACTTTGTAGTATATAGTATTATACCTATATTATATTATTTCCTACTTTACTTGTAATAGTGAAAATTAACAGCTCAAAATACCAGCGATAAGCATTTTACAAGATACATACTACATGTATGACGAAATTCTATTTTTTTTTTGCTGTACAATTCGTATATCGATACACTTTGATTGTGTCTAACCTGCAGAATTTCACTCTTTTTTTTTTTTTCCCCACTATAGGTCAAGACACTGGCTAAAGACTGTGAAGCTCTCAGAAAAGAAGGTGTCAGAGTCAAAGACGAAAACAAGAGAGAGCATCTTATGCGAGGACAGATGGAGGAGGCTGTCAGACGACTCACATTAGAAATAGGTATGCTAAGGTTTAGTTATCAGGGTACACACTACAGTATATATGCTGGTAGATTCTGCCTTGATTCCCCATACACACCCACTGTTGTAGAATACAGTCCACTCCCTCATGTGGATTATTTGACATTTCTAATTTTGCCAGATTACATATAGTAATGTGTGATTTCATCTTTAACTCACTCAATCTGTATTCTTATGATGATTCTGTTTCATGGTTTCCCCTGATTTACAAAGTGCAAGATTTACAGTGTGTAATGTATGCTTACATAAGTTACAATCTACATAGCCAAAAGCTAATTGTGTACATGGTTCTCAGTAACCCTGGATGTTGATACATGTATAGGAATGCTTTGGCCGTTGAGATGAGTCTGTTATAATATTAAAAAAAAATTCAGAACCACTATTTTGAGTAGAATACAAGTTCCAAACCCACAACCTTTACTGTACAGGACTGATATATTAACCACTACATCAAACAGTCAACTTGTCAATCTCGGAGCAGTAGTGTACAATGAAAGACTAGTCATGGTGGTTCCACTAGAAGTGAACCCAACATACAATCTTTAAACAAGCTTGAATAGGAAACCATTCAGATTAGATTTTGTTTGAAATATTCTTATTCTTACAATACTTTATTTTCGCTTGGAATTTATTTTCGCTATTTTCGCTGAAGGGATGATTCCGTGAAAATAAAATCCAGCGAATATACTTTTTTTCCTATATTTCACATTAAATTCATCAAAAATCAGTGAAAATAAATTCCATACAAAGCGCCCGAAATGCCTTTTCAGTGAAAATTAATTCCAGCGAAAATAAAGTATTCCACAGTATTATAAAATGTCACATACCTGGGATTTAGTTTTTCAGAAAACACAACATAACTATTTCTATTTTCCTCTAGATGCTAAAGATATCAAATTAAAAGATGTCTTTGAAGAAAATAAGGTAAAAAGATTTTTTTGTTGTTGCTAGGAAACTAAGCAGGTTTTTTTATCCCTTCAGTCATCCTGAATATACAGTTCTTAATAACCACATAGCAAAGTTTGTTTTTAAGATTTTTGTATTCATTATCAGGTTTTGTCAAGCAATTTGTCAGCTCTGAAAAAAGATAATATCAATATGAAATCTGAGATGGAACAGTTACGAAAAATAAAAGATGAATCACAGGTAAGACAAGCTTATATTTAAAATCAGAACGACTTGTGTCACTTTTCACATTTTGTTTTCATATATTTCCAAGATTTTGATTAAAATATGTATCCTATAAGAAAGTATATTTAGTCAGTCCAAAATTACGAAAAAAATCACAATGGACACTGTAATTATTCGGAAAAGCAAAGTGATGTTCAGTGACTTTACTTTTCATGACTTGACGGTTTCAGAAAGGGTGGGAGATAAGTCGACCATGTGCACTAAATAAGAATACTGTAATTCTGATGACTAATATAAGCAAACAAAAAATATGAATAAAAAATATAAATGCACAGAAAATTAAAAAAATAACATTTATTATTGCTGTTGACACTAACAACAAGTGCATTCTGGGTGTTTTGGTATCAAATTTGGTAATGAAAATTAAAATATGGTCACTGAAAAAGTTTTTCACTTTATTATAATTTTACCTTGAAATTTTTTTTAAACCTTTTTTTGGGGGGAAATCATAGGTAAGAAAACATGAATAAAAAAATATATGAAAAAAAATCGAAATTATTTTCAAAAACATTTATTTGCTCACAGGCTACTATTCAGCAGTTGGAGACCGAAAACAAGGAAGTACATACAGCTTTGAAGACTGTGTCCAGTGAAAACAATACTATGATGGTGGAACACATGAAAGTCTTACAGGTATTCATATACAGTATTTGTTCTATTAGATGTACATGTCTAATAGAAATGCATTGTTTTTTATGCTGGATCATTTGACTTAATTTGATATTAGATTCAAATTTATTATTTATGTAAGCACATGCACTACAAATAGACCAATTATGGTACTGTAAAAGCATTTATTTTCACTGACTTTTAATTTCATATGCTTTGAGCATATTCGGTGTGTTTTAATTTCACAAATTTGTCAAGGAAAGAATGAGTTTTATTGTTATTTTACATGATAACGTAGGTTTAATTTAGTGGATTTTACTTATTAGTGGGAGTAGGGAAATTAAAACCCAGTGAATAATTAATGCATTTACAGTACATGTATGTATACTGGTCCCCTTCAGAAATTTTCATGGTATAAGTATTTAACAATAAGGGGGCAATATCATTCACTGTGATTCTCTGCCTCAATTTCAAAATTTGACTTGCAAAGTTTGCAGAAAATGTTATCTCCAAGGAAATTAGTTTGGGTTATTTTCTGTTGGAATAACTTTTCATTTTATCTTAATGTTTATAAAAAATATTCTGTAATTAAATATTGTCAAAACAATGTATGTTGATTTGCTGTGTCTCAAATGAAATATTTTTAATTTATGTAATGGGTGGTCATTATGTTTGAAGATTTGGTCCAGCATAGCAATTGGAAACTGAAAGTAAAGTGCCCCCAAGTGGCTACTTACCAGTTTGGTCATAAAAGGTTACAGGATCAACATACAAAATACATGGAAAGGTTAAGTTTTCAAAAACACATATTACTTGGATTTTACAGTGAATACATGACATTGTTTAAAACTTTGCTTCCTCTACGAAAATCCATAATAAATGCTATATTGTTTCAATTTAACTTTTTCATGACCAGTTTTATAGAACAGTCCTGTTTTTATAGTCCGCACTTTCCTTCAGACGATCTGAACAAAAATAGCCACCTTTTTTGAGCAAAACTTGACTCATATTTTGTCTGTTGGCTCCAAAATCAGGGTTCATTTCCAGAATATAAGAAAAAAGTGCAGACAAATTTGAGTAATTCAGGTAGTGAAAAGGATAACCTGTTACCACTCTTGATCATGTAACTTTTCGTATTCTGACTACTGAGAGAATAATCCTGCCTTGTCACAATATTAGACTTATGTTAGTTTAGTGGATGTACATATATGTAATAGTATTTTTGCTCTCAGACAAATTTTGTTGAAAATTTTATCCATTGTTTGTTTCCGTGTTAGTGACACTGTTTCTGCTTTATATTTAGATGGAAAAACAAAGATCTTCTACTGAGATTGAGGAAGGACTGAGTTCACTCAGGGAACAACTAAAAGCTGCAGTGCAAGCTAAGGAAATTGCTGAAAAGAAATGGTTGGTGTCTTTTGAAAATATTCAATTTATTTATTTTATTCACCATACTTTTTACTGTCATGCTTTAATCAAAGTTTCTCTATTGTGATTCAGGGTATGAGTGATGTAGTTTGGTATGATGCATTGTTGAAGTAAAATATGGAAGCCTCCATAACCTTCTCACCACCAGACTTTTTTGTGCAAATTATTCTGCATTTTTCCCTATATTCTTAAATTTTTCTTGAAATGAACTCTAATTTTGGAACCAACAGACAAAATTTCAGTTAATTTTCAGTTTTTACTCAAAAAATGTTTCTTATTTTTGTCCCAATAAGTGACTACTGCAAGAGTTTCATATCAATCTGTGCCAATCACTTTGTGTTTGCTGATGTCAACCTAAAAGATAATATCGTGGGATTATATATTTATTATATGCATATTTCCATAGTACGGCGAAGTGTTGACAGTGGAACTATTTGTGTAATAATACTGAATACAAATATATCATTGCATCCGCCTTGTATTCTAATTTTGTTTTATTTCACTCAAACACCTTGCAAATGTTGTATGCCGATTCTGCTCGTTCGTGATTCTTACTCAAATTCATTAGGATTTTTTTAAAATTCATATTGATTTTTTGAGTACATGAACTGAACTCTGCCATTACATTAATCTGAATGTGTAAACCATCCTCTAGAGAAAAAACATCTGCCAATATCTGCCATGTACTTGATAATGAACTCTTAGACTAGTCTTCAACTTTTATAAGTAATGTTATCTTTTGTATGGGTTTAGCTCTGAGATGAAGACTGAGTTGGAAATCAACAAAATTGAACTGAAAAATACTGAGGAGAAAGCCTCAAAGGACAGAAGAGGCCCTGGAACATGCATTAGATCAACTCAAAGATGAACTACTGAATATTCAGAAAGATAAGGAAACTGCTATGAAGGATAAAGAGACCTTACTGGAAGAGGTGAGTGGTTGTTTTATGCCTGGTTCAGTTTAAGGAGTGTTTTGAGTGTATAAAAGTCAGATATCTTAATATTTAGAC